CAGCTTCTATGGCTCAGTTGGTAGAGCGCATGACTAGTAATCATGAGGTCCGCGGTTCGAATCCGCGTGGAAGCATTTTTTGCTATTTCGTCATTCCGTGACATCGTCAAGCCTCCACAGCCCGCAGAACCAATCAGACGGTGGGATTGTTGGCCGAGCGCATCACTAGTCGAGATGAAATCCTCGGGTCGAGTCCGAGTGTGAGCCTGCATCGCTAGCCTTGTAGAGGTGTCGGGGGGTAGTTGAGCCGGGGCAGTAGATAGGTAACAAGGAACTCATCTATGAATGACTGTCTGGGATGGTTGTAAACAACGCCCGTCACATTGTTTTTTTTGCCTTACATGTACACAGTACTCCGTTACTAGCCATTGGGAAAGAACGAATGATAGTAGATTAGAGGTAGGGTATACCTAATAAGGAGAAACACCGAGGTCGTTGGCGGGGAAAAAGCAGGAACCTCCCCTCCCCGTGCACCCTTTTCTTTTTCACCATGACGATGACGATATTCCAGGCACTTGCATGGGTGGTTAGCAGCTAACTAGCTGGATTCTCACAGCTCTGGGTCGTTTCAGATGGTGGGTGAGAGTATTTTCTTATTTTCTTTTTCTTGTCTGCTAATATTGTTAATTCTTCAAGTCCGAAGTGGAGGGTAGCTAGGTAAGTAGGTAGATAGACAGAGAGATGATATAGGGTGTAGTTGTCTTTCTGGTGATTGATTGATTGATTGTTAGTTAATATTAATTATTTGAACCATTATCCTCTCTGCTGTCTGCTCAGCTTTTCTCATGCCGAGCTCAACTCCCATCTCCACCGCGTCGATCCACTGCTCTCTTCTCATCGGCCTCACATATCTTTTCCTCACTCTGGTCATTTCCGTTCTCCTCCCTCCCTCCCTTTTCTTCCCTCTTTTACCATCCTCTGCCATCCAGGGACTTCCCGTGCGTGTTTGTTCCCACGTTTCCTTTTTTACTTGCCCTGTATGCTTCAGCCTTCCTGCCCCCCCATCGACCCATTTTCTCCTCCTTTCCCCCATCCGTTCCCGCCGAGAACTTCTCCGCTGACCAGCCCGTTCAGGTTCGCTATCGCTCGGACCAGGAGAGCTTAAGCCTTAAGCCTTGGGAGTCCGTCGGTCCCTCCACGCAGAAGTGTCTCGTTCTCGTTCTCCCTCCGTCCGCGCCTCACTTTAGCAGCGTTTCGCAAGCGCCCAACTCGTCAAGCTCTCTTCTACCTGCAGAGAACTACCGAAAGGGCCAGAAACCAGCAAAATAGAAAATCAAATACAAAGATCCAAAGAAACGGAAGAGGAACTAACTAACAACAACAACAACAACAACGATAATTCACCACATCTCGTCAATTGTTTGGTTTTTCCCTTTTTATTTTCCTTTAGATCCACACCTTTTTTTCCCTTTCTGATTTTCTTTTCTTTTTCCTTCTTCTTCTCTCCTTCTCTGAATCTCTTTTTCCACTTGTCATACTTTCCTCACTTCCAGACTTTTATTGTCTTTGTTTTCCTCCGGGACTAATTCCCTTTCCACTCCATCATTTCTACTGTCAAACTCCGGCCACCCCTCCACCTCTCAGGACCAGGACCAGGACAAGGAACGGCCAAATCCTGGACAGTTAACCTTCGCCCGGTCATAAGGTCTGGACAAGACAGGCTGTTGAACCGGTGCAGGAATGGACTCGTTGATGAGGCGTCTTGCGGTGGTTCTTTTAATCTAGGTTTCCCTTATTTTCTTGCCTTATTTACTGGACATCCTTTCCTTTTACCCTTTGATTCTCTGCCTGAGGTCCTTAAACTTCCCTTCGGCTCTGCTACTTACGTCAGCACCAGTCTCGCTGGCGCTTTGACTCTTTCCTCTATCCATCAGCTTTGGCATTTGCCGTTCCCTGGTCCTTCTTCCCTCCCCCGCCCAGTCCGGCCACCAGTCTTGATGATGGACATCAATTCACTCCTTTCGCCCCAGGATGCCAATTCACAGTCCGGGCGCTCAACCCCCTCGGCGGGTTCTTCCTCCGTCCCCAATAACTCCTCTTTCTCTGCCCCGACCTCTGCTCCTCATCCGAAGCCCTTGCGAAAGAGTCGCCCCGGCTCGACCAAGCAAGGCATGACTTCCTCGCCGCTCGCGCAGCATGTCTATGCTCCATCCCACCTGCCTGAACCTTCGCCGCCCGCCATAAGTCCCAAGGTCGGTCCTAGCGTGGGAGGTGGGAATGGTACTCCCCCAGCGGCTGACCTCCCTCCCCCAAGACAACCGTCTACCCCCGGCATGGACACCCTGGCCGACCTGGCGTCAATGCAGCATCATCAACCGCCGCGATCCAATGCTCCTATCCTGCGCAGCACCGAGGCGTACGAGCACCAGCTGTCCCCTTCCACCATGTACCCCCACGTCAACCCAATCTCTCACAACACTCCTACCCCGCGCTCCTCCTTTGATATCGCAATGTCAGATGGTCCGCGCGAAAGCGCTCGTCGGAGCTATATGGATACCTCCTTGGTCCCCAACGCCCAGCGACAGGCGACGGAACTGTTCGCTCAGATCCAGGAAAACCCACAGTCCTACGACGCGCATGTTCGCTTCGTCCGCCTTTTGCACGCGGGCTTCGTCAACCACGTCTACCCTCCGAACAACCCCGATATCCATGGCGACCCCCGGAAGTACGATTTGCTCAAAGACATGCGGACGGCTCGAGAGGAGATGGACAAATTGTTTGCTATGGGTGAAGATCTCTGGGCGGAGTGGATTCAGGATGAAAGCATGCTGGCACAATCGGTGGAAGAGCGCATCGCAGTGATGGAGCTCTGTCAGCGTTCGATCGAGGAAGAATACGGTAGCACTAAGCTGTGGGGCATCTACGGCGAGTGGCTCCTGTATCTCTACAACTCGGCCAACGGCGACGCCAGTCAAAGCCAGTGGACCGAGGAAGACCGCATGGTCGGTCGCGAAGTTTTCTCTTGGCAGTCCGTCCTCGACGTGTGGCAGCGAGGTGCCGAATCAACGCGGTGGAGAATTCACGACAGCCATCTGGTCTGGGATCAATTCCTTGACTTGCTCGTGCAAGATCTTTCTCGCAACCCATCACAGGACAAGATCAACCATGTAAGAGGGTTTTTCGACCTCCGCCTCGCGACTCCCCATGCCACCTGGGATCAAACCTTCCAATTATTTTCCGGGTTCATCTCGACGTATTACAACGCAAACTATGAGAATATCATGGCAGAAATGGCCGGGAAATATTCTACGGCAAGCAAGGAGACGTACTCTGCCCGCGAAGACTTCGAGATCCGGTTGCGCAACGCGGCCGAGGCGGGCGACATGGGTCAGGAATGGGTTGTGTTCACCGAATATCTCGAATGGGAGCTCAATCGGAACCGTCGCAAGCGGCACACAAATTTCGACCTAGTTAATGCAGTATACCAGCGCGCCGTGCTGCGCTTTCCGACCGATGCGAATATGTGGGAAGATTTCATCATGTTCCTCATCGACGAATCCATGCACGGTAATACAAATACCACGACGATTTCCACACTCGACCGTGCGACCCGGCACTGCCCCTGCTCCGGCAGCCTCTGGTCACAGTACCTGCTCAGTTCCGAGCGGGAAGGCCAGTCGTTTTCCAAGATCGCGGATATCAAGCACAAGGCCACCAGTACGGGTCTGCTGGACGCGGGCGGTATGGAGGAAGTACTCAAAGTGCATACTGCGTGGTGTAGCTACCTTCGTCGACGTGCGTTCCTGTCCGATTCCACCGACGAAGACATTGACGTGGCGGAAGTTGGTATCCGGTCTGCTATCGAAAGCGTCCAGGAACTGGGCGAGAAGAAGTATGGCCGCAACTACCAGGGCGACCCATTGTTCCGGTTGGAGCGCATCTACATTCGTTATCTCAGCGAGAGTGGCAGTTGGGACAGCGCGCGGGAGACTTTCAAGGGTCTCGTGGGACGCCGTGGTAATAGCTACGAGTTCTGGCTGACTTACTACGAGTGGGAGCTGATCTCCTGGAGTAAGTTTGTTCAAAACGAGACTACGATTGATGCCGCCCGGCGCACTCCGAACCCCAGCTACGCCACTGCGGTGCTGAAGCAGGCGATCAAACGGACCGACCTCGATTGGCCCGAGAAGATCATGCAGACCTACATTGCGCACTGCGAGGACTACGAGGATTCGGATGAGCTGCAGCTGGCGATTTTGGAGACGCGCAAAGCGATGAGAGCCGTGACTGCCCGCCGCGAGCGCGACGCAAGGGAGCTGGCCGCGCGGCAGGCTGAACAAGCTGCCGTGGTGGAACAAGCCACCCCGCAGGCGGAAAAGCGCAAACGGGAGGAGGAGACGGGCATGAACGGACTCCCTGCCAAAAGAGCTCGTGCAGAGGAGGCCGAAGTATCGGTTCCCGTGGCCGCCGAGCCGGTCGCTCTTCGTCGTGATCGTGAAAATGCCACGATCGTCGTTAAGAATCTGCCCCATGGCATCACCGAACACAAAGTCCGGCAGTTCTTCCGCCATGTGAGTTGCCTCTTACTGAATGCGTAAAGATTGTCGTAGCTAACTTGAGTTATAGTGTGGTACGATAAATAGTGCTAAATTGCTGTCCAGTGATGACGGCAAGTCCGAGACAGCCATCATCGAGTTCAATTCCAAAGATGAGGCCGTTGTCGCGCAGACGCGTGATCAGAAGATCATAGATGAGCATACGATTGAGGTTCAGTTTGGATCGGGTTCTACGGTGTTTGTGACCAACTTTCCAGCGACAGCTGATGAACAATACATTCGCGACCTGTTCCGTGAGGTGACTTCCCCCCGGTGTTTCACTGATCCAAACGTTGGCTAACCGACTTTGTAGCACGGCGAGATTATCGATATCCGCTTCCCGTCCCTCAAGTATAACACGCACCGGCGATTCTGCTACGTGCAGTTCAAGACGGCCGGAGAGGCTTATAGCGCCACGCAGTTAGACGGGGCGACGGTGGGCAATGGCCTGCACCTGGTTGCCAAGATCTCGGACCCGACTCGCCGGCAGGACCGCCAGGGCCCCATGTACGAGGGACGTGAGATTCATGTGTCAAACCTCGACTGGAAAGCCAGTGAGCAGGACGTGGAGGAGCTATTTCTACGGTTTGGAACTGTGGAGCTGGTGCGCATCCCGCGCAAGGTGGACGGCGGCAGCAAGGGCTTCTGCTACGTGGTCTTCTCGTCTAAGGTAGGTTGTTCCGGAGGATGCGCAAATGCGCGAAGACTTTTTAACTAATGCATCTCGCAGGAGGAAGCCGAGGCGTCGTTAGTGATGCACGAGCAGCAGTTCCGCTCGCGCCCGCTTCATGTGAAGCTGTCCACCCCGCAAGGGGCCAAACGAAGCGCGACAACCATTTTGTCTCGCGTTGGGACCCGGTCCCCATCGGTCGAGGTCAACGGGGCCAGGCGTGAGGCGAGCGAGGAGGTGCCAAACAGTGAACGGCAAGCACGCACGCTGGGCCTGATGAATGTCCCGGACACGGTGAATGATGCGCGGATCCGAGCACTCGTCGAGCCGTATGGCAAGCTGATCAAGATCGTACTGCGGCCTGATCACCAGGGAGCGATTGTTGAGTTTGCGGACGTACACGAAGCCGGCAAAGCGTCCCTGGAGTTGGAAGGGCAGGAAATTACCCCCGGGCGCAAACTGCACGTTGGCACGGTACCGGAGATGATGAAGCAATCGGCAGAGAAGAAGAGCAGCAACGGACCCAGCCAAGGTAGCAGCGGCAACAGCAAAGCCAAAGATAAGCCCACTGGACTCTTCCCCGTCACGAAGCCGATCAAGCGCCCGCCGCAGCCAGGCGCGCGCGGCGGCAAGCGCGGCGGGCTGGGAGTGAAACGGGCGACGGCGACGAGCACGGCGAATGGGCAGACGACGACCACGACGACCACGAAGACGACGATGACGACCGACAGCGCCGCCCCGAGCGAGGGGCAGAGCACGAAAAAGAGCAATGAAGACTTCCGAGCGATGATCCAGCGGAGTCGAGCGGGTTGAGGGAGGGCGCGGCGCACAGGATGGCATGGCGGGAACCGGCGTTTACCTCTCCGCTTGCTAATGACGACTCCTACTACTACTCTTACTACTCTTGCTAAACTTTGCTAAGATTCCGACTTGGCGTGATGTGAATTTGACCTTCTACCGGCCAGTGCTGATGTTGAGAAGTTCTTGCTGATGCGTTTGCATTTGCCGCTTTGTGTATTATCATATAGCCTTAACCCGGCCGCCGGCTGAAGTTGAATGTAGAT